TGCTAGACTTTTCTTTTAAGAGCCTCGAGTAGGTTTATTTACCCTATTCTGTTCTATATCTATATGTTAATTTTGCTCATTAAAATTTTGTCGAAAATTTTGTTTTCCTGCTGTTGCTTGTTGCTACTCTAGTTTATTTCTTGTTTTCAACTTGGTTGATTGTATTCCTATAGTTTTCTGTCTTTTTCTTTAGTGTTCTAAATGCTGTTTGCTTGAGTGTTTCGGTGTTATTTGTGTTCTTTGCTTCCTGTAAATTTCAGTCAAGGGATCTGCAGAGAAAAACTGACTTATAAGTTTATTCTTAAACAATAATTTATATTAAAGACTATGTATAGTATTTTGATTATAAAATTTAATAAATATAGTATTTATAATATATTAACAAAACTTGTTATTTAATTTTTTTGACAAACTAAAACAAAATATTAATTATTATGCAACTTGTAAAATGTTAAAATTAATACATATTACTATCAGAATTGTAATTTATATTTATTAAAATAATATTAATATGCAATTAAATATAGAAACTATATTTAGAAATATAATAACTTAGTAAAATGAATAAGTTGTCAACTCTTTAAATAGTAGGTTAAATGTTTAAATCCTATTGATAATAAAAATTTAGATAATTATTTATATAATATTTATATTATAACAACTATTTTTAATAATTAAATTAGAATATCTATAATAGCAGTTGCACTAGTATGACTGGCAAATTATGAAAAATCTGTATAAATATAGCATTATACAGAAGAATACAAACTAGTATTAGATAATACAAACTCTAGATAAGTTCTTATAATTATGTAAATCCATTAAAATTAGAAAACAATAAGTCTATTTAAGAAGATCCAAGTAGAAAAGTAGTATGAATTTTTAATAATGCTACTGTAAAAACTAAATCTAAGAAATGAATATTAAAATTATAATATCTAGATAAACAAGAACCTCTAAATTAGAAATCTTAGAGATATCACCAACCAGGCTGCTAAAATAAACCAAAGAAAAAGAATATTGAACTAATTTAATATACTGATGAACTGATCATAATTCTATATAGACTATCTGAATTAAGAATTTGATAAAAAGGTAAGGATATACTAAAGTATAAGGTATATATTGTAAAGTAGATGCTAAGATTCAAGTAAACTTTATAAGAACATAGTAGTTAAATGATATAACTTTGATTGCAAGTATTGGTTTTGCTATAACAATATCAGATCAACTGTAAAAATATGTGCAGAAGGCTCTAAAAGGTTTATCTCAAAGATAAAATAATTCTAAAGTTGAGACAATAACCTGAACTTAACTTAGTAATGTTAATACAAATACTAGTTCAGAAGGTTTAAAATGAAACACTCAAGTAGAGGTATTAGATATAGTAATTAGTAAAAAATTTTTTGGCAGACTCTTTAAATAAGTAATAAAAAAAATTATTATATAATTATTTATTTGAATAATGCAAATATCAATTAAAAAAACTTAACAACATTTATACTACTGTTTCTTATTACTAAAAAAAAAATTTTTACTTATTAATAATAACTTTTTTAGAATCAGTATTACAGTTGTAGTCATAAGTATCCTACTCCCTATAACTTTTTAAATTGAAAAGATATAGTTTTAAAATTTTTATAGCAAATAGTATTATATAAATCTAGATCAGTAAATTTTTTTTATAATTTTTTAATTATTATAACAAAAATTAGATAAGAACTAAACTTTTACTTAATTTTTTTTAATGAAATAAAAAATAATAATTGTATTTAATCAAAAATTAATAGAGATTTAGATTTAAACTCTAAAATTCTAAAAACTTAGTATGTTAAAATTCAAGCATTTTATAGTAATGACAAAAATTTTGAATTAATTTAATAAGATAATTGTTAAAAAATTAAATTTTAAATTTTAAATTTAAGAGTTGATTTTTTTTTTTAAAAAAAAATAGTTTACATAATTAGATTTTATTGATTTTTATATAGAAAATAATTTATTTTTTATATAAAAATTAATAAAAACCTAGTTGTGTGAACTATTTTTATAAAAATAAAATTAAACCTTAAATTTAAAATTAAAAATTTAATTTCTTAACAACTATCTTATCAAATTAACTCAAATTTTTTGTTACTACTATAAAATGCTTGAATTTTAACATACTAAGTTTTTAGAATTTTAGAGTTTAATTCTAAATCTCTATTAATTTTTGATTAAATACAATTATTATTTTTTATTTTGTTAAAAAAAATTAAGTAAAAGTTTAACTCTTATCTAATTTTTGTTATAGTTATTAAAAAATTATAAAAAAAATTTACTGACCTAGATTTATATAATACTATTTGCTATAAAAATTTTAAAGCTATATCTTTTTAATTTAAAAAGTTAGAAAAGATGAGATATTTATAACTGTAACTGTATATAATCCATAACAATATGAATTACTTAAACACATTATTTAGTATATATTATTCAAAAAAATCATTAATAAAATCTTAAAACAATATGATATTAAATTTGTTAAACAAAATTTAATTTCTAACTTATCAGATCTAAAAATTCCAAACCAATAAATAACTATAATTTAAAATAAATGTAAAAAATTAACGTTGCTATATAATGAATTTGTAAGAAACAATATTGTTAATACAAAAAATCAAACAGTTAAACAATATACTAAAGCTTTGTAGAAATTGTTAATAAGCTTGCCAAAACAATTAATAATTCTGATTCTAAACAGCATAATCTTTTCAAACATATACAAGAAATGAATTAAGATGATTATATATGAATGTCTGATTTTTATAAGAAAGATTTTGTTCAGCTATATAATATTCTCTATGAAGAAATTTATAAACTAAATAAAATATTATAAAAAAAAAGAAGAGTTGAAAATTTAGTTAATGTCTCAGCTAAACAATATTTATTGTTAGAAAAAGATTAAATATTAGCAAGTTAAAACTTGCTCGATCTTGTTAATTGCTATGTTAAATGAATTTCTAACATGTAAAAAAAATCTTCGATCTGCTGTACTGCAAAAACTTATTAATTAAACTTGGTTTGTGCTAATAAGTAACCATGTAGATCGTCACCCATATTAACTTGTTGCTTTAAAAAAAATCATATAACCTGACTACTTGAAAAAGAATGTGAGCAATAAAGTTAAAATTTACACTCTTTGCCTGTTAATATCAAAAAAAATACCAAAAAAAAATAAAAAATAAAACCACATATAAGTGCAATAAAACGTGTAGATTAGGTTTTATTAATGTGTAAAGATTAGATATTTAGAAAGTTTCATGACTTTTCTTATAACGATCTAAAAGTAAGTATATGGCTTTTGTGTAACCTTACTATGTAAAATCAATTCGGTGTGACATATTTCACGACTGATATGACAAGTACTCTACCTTTAATTTTTATGAGACTACACATATAGTACATTGGCAAGGCAGCGGGATCAGACCTAGTTTAGAAAATAAAACGTTGCCGTACGTATAAATAAGTTACTGCGGAACTTGATTGCTGATCCAAATAAAATACGTTAATCATTTCAACTAAAATGGAATTTTTAATCTAAATCTGAAGCTTCCAATATATTTTATACCGCAATAAAAAAAATTGTTGCAAAATTTTTCCGTGTCCTTGATCCAGAGATAAAATCCAGCCTGAAGCATTAACTTTACACTGGAGCACTATCGCTATAGATTGTCAATTCCCCAATTCTAATTTGAATTTTTTTATTATTATAAAACCTTAAATTAGGCTTCAAATATTTTAAACATCAATTTTACATATTGATATGTATATTTTTCTAATCTTAACTCACGTCTAATCCTAATATTTAATTATTACTATATATTTTTATCAATACAATAATATTATGTGATGATCTGCAAAAAACAATAAAAAGCCTGATTGGCCATAAGAAAAGGTTTGAAGATCAATATTATTTTTTAGTTTTCCACTATAATTTCTTTTTCAATTGATTACATAGAGACTACATCAACTACCAGTTTGTAGTTATAATGTTCGATTACGTATATTCATTTATTAAATTAATAAACTGTATAATACAAACCGGATATAAACCAGATTAGAATCAGATAACCGAATAAACATCTATCTATCTATAAAATCCAAGATGTCAATATGGATATCCGACTATAATCAGAATCCAAGTACACCTATTGAAGGGTTTTCAGAACATTTATCAATTGTTTAATTCCGACAATCCTAAATTGAGACAAAAAGAATGGATGATAAGAAATTTTGAAAGATTGTAATAGAAAAAACATTTAATAGAAGTGATTAAATTACCATTTTCCACACTCTTCCATTTTAGTAGTCATTAACTGCACCTGAATGTTGATGGCATTAGGAAAGTTACGCGATTCCAAGTCTAAACGCATTATAAGAGATTATAAAATGATTTAAAACGGCACGATAATTTAGTGATCAAAAATGCTTGCTGATTCAAAACCAACCTCGAACCAGAGTTAATAATGATTCAATAACACTTGGAGAAATTTCTTCATTGTTTAAAGCATCGAACAGAACGTTAAGGCGTTTTTCGGTATCATCCAATAATTTTTTTTGCGTATTCTATGATAATCAAAGTATAACCATTTAACAAGTCAATTATGATGGCTTAAAATATTCAAAATAACTAGTCCAACTTACAGGAGAATGTTGTCGGGCTCTCAACAATTCGTTACTGAGTATAATAAATATTGGTTTTTGTGTAGCTGGAATATGAGTTCTGTCACCAGGTGCTACAATTTATATATAGATGAGTACATTCAAAGTTAATATATTAGTTATGATTGAGACAAATGTCAATCAAGAAACTCACGATGTTTGTTTGAGGGTGTTGGCGTTTTTGATGGAGTAGGTACTCTATTAGGCGTTGATGTCGATTGATTAGGAGCATAATATGACTGAGTAGGCTGTGAAGGTCGCTGTGTTGATGGTTGCTGTTGAATATTTGGGTTAGGAGGCGGAGGTGGATATAAAGATGTTACACCTGTTTGTGGCTGCATCGACTGAATTGGCTGATACGCTGTTGTTACAGGAGCTGCAGGATTTGCCTGGAGTGGTGGCAAGCCTGCGGGTATGTTAGGCTGTGGAGGAGCTGCGAAATTTTGCGGTGGAGGATGTATCTTTTGCTGCGTTGGTGAAGTGGATGTCGGAAAGGGAGATACAATGGGTGATGGTTTGTTCACTTGGGCTTGTGCTACCCTTCTGTTCATTTGTGGAGGAGGTACAACTGGAGGGTCATTCCAGTTTGGTACATTTTTCTTATGTGCTCCTACAACTTCTGCAGACGGTACGTTTTCATTTTGAACAAGCGCATTAGGCATAGGAGGTTGAGGGATTAAATTATTACTTTCTGAATATGGTTGATTATAGCCGGTAAAGTTTTGTTGATATGAGTAACCCGTGGGATTTTGTATAGGTGGGTTATAAGGAGGTACATATTGGTTGTATGCCATCTGTTGGGCTTGTGCTTGGGCCTGTTGGGCTTGTGCTTGGGCTTGTTGTGCTTGTTGTGCTTGCTGGACTTGCTGTTGAGGTTGATACGGCGCATTTTGAACAAGGGGTTGCTGGTTATAGGCATATTGATTATAATATTGTTGAGCAGCGGGTTGTTGGTAAGCAGCCTGCGTGGCGTTGGGGTCGACTTGTGGTGGAAAAGTTACATCGCCAACAATAGATTGATTTGTTTCGCCATCTTCACCAACATATACTTGTGAAAACGGGAAAGAAGGTGCTTTAGTGCTTCCTACATCCACACCAGAGTTGTATAATCTTTCTCTGATTACGGCCAAAGAATTATTTTGATCGAGTGTAGCTGTCTTGTATTCTACAGGTATTAAATTCAAATATTTAAGGGCAGTAGTTAAGTGACCTTGTGATACAAGAATTTCCGCATAATCGGTGTACTTGTCATATAGGGCAGACAACTTATACTGTTGATTTGATTCACCAGCGGATGAATCTAAACTTTGGACCACGGATGGGTCAACATAGTCGATCGCTTTGCGAAATATGGTAACTTTTTCAATCAGACTCTGAAGAGTTTTTGCGTGGTAAGAATACCTCAATCCTGTACATTTAGATCCGTCCTGATTATTTTGTACAGTTTCATATTGTTTTTCTTCATTTTCTTGTTCAGCAATCCAAATTTTTGCAACGTTTTCCAAATTACCAGCAGCAAGGAAACATAATACAGCATTTTTCCTATATTCTAATCCTCTTGATTTCATTTCTTCTGTCGAAGTAGGATCAACACACTTATGATATTCTTGCTCTAGTCTCTGACCTAGTGCATTACATAATCCTCCAAATTCTTCGGGACGAGCGAATGTGCAAAGAACTACAACAATTTCTTGCCACTCAGATAAATCTGCATTGAATACAATGTCCGATAAATCGCCAGAAACAATACTCTGAAGAAGACGTAAATATGGGATGGTCGATGCTCGCCTTTCGAAGTATGTTTTTCGAGTTCGCTGCAAAAGTTCTTGGCCGCCACAACCCGCCAAAAGTATTGCATCTGACAATCTATCAGCTTTTAAACATAAATCAACTGCAGATTCAAAATCACCAAGTACTATGGATCGAGTAATGAGTTTATCAACATCTGATTCTTGTGCGGGATAAATTTGGAATGAACCGATATTGAAATTTTCACTTTGAACAGGAAATGCATCAGGGATGTTTCCGGAACTGAAGAAATTAGAAGCATCTGAGGGCCCACTAGGATCAGTCAGACCGGAAAATAATTCGTCCATATTATCTGATTTGGCAGCAAATTGTTCATCGTGGCCTTGATCCGCATCTGACTTAACATCAGTAGGGCTCGAAGGTAAGGATACTACACCTACTGACTCTGTGGAATTATCTTGCTGCAGAATGTCGTGAATATTATTTATTTCTGGCTGCTTTGATTCTTCGTTTGAGGTTTCCTTTAAATTCATAGCTTTTATAGCAGTCGATATTTGTGAGACTACATCCTCTTTTGAAAATCCAAGATGTTTAACTAACTGTTCCCTTGCATTTTCATTGAATATTGTGTGAAGAACTTTCCAATTTTCTGACTCAAATTCGTTTGCTGCCTCCTTGACACGACGTTCACAGAAGACGTCGAGGGACTTGTCTTCAACTGATGACTCAAGCTCAATGGATCGTTGCACAACCTCCGATTCCGTCACAACAGTGGATATTGCGACAACGTGCTTTTTAGGTGCAGTTCCTGTAGAAGCCTTATCGCAAAATGAAACTAATTTCCCACCAAACCCAAACATCACACCTACAGGTCTTCTTAACCATCTTGGAGGTTGTTTGAGTGCGAGAGATGGTTGGTGTGCGGAAGCAATTGGTGCAAAAGGATCGTCATTGTCATGCACGTTGGCTTGTACTAATTTATCTTGGTTAGATTGCAAAGAATGGACGCTAATCTTTTACCAGAGTTTAAAAAAACGATCAGGTGTCGTAAAAAGATGAAATAGTAATAATTTAAAACATTTAGTCAAAGTACCTTTCCATCTAAAGAAGCAGATGCCAACAAATACGGGTTCCCAGTACACCATTGAACATCAAAAGCCCAATTTGAACTTGAAGGGAGCTAAAAAAAAAAAAAAAAAAAAGGAAAACCCACACAAAGAATTCTCGTTACTATTGTTCAGACAATTTTTTTATATTATAATACCTACCTCGCCTATTATTTCAGCTGTTCTCGGGTTCCAGCATAGAGTTCTGTTGTCTTTACCACATGACAGCAATAAGTCGGCATCTTTCTGACACCATGACAACGACAAAATACCTTTTTCATGTCCCGTCAAGACCTGAATAAATACAGAACCATACCACAGTCAAAACTAAAACCATACTACAGTCAAACCAAAAAGAAACTTTTATTCTAAGGTAACTATTAGATGATCGATATAACCTTTTCTGGAGCGTGAGCATTACGAACATCCCAAACTACAATAACTGGGTTATTATCATCTTCAGAGGCAGTTATTATTTGCGTTGCCTAAAAATTGGTGGAATAGGTCAATAAACATATATGTATTAAAGCAATATCTTATTCTTTTACAGTTTACCATATCAGGATTCCACGCCACTGCGGTGATGCCCCTTCTCCCGACACCCAAGCCGGTAGCCATATTCATAGATCCCATACCATAACCGCCTGCTAAAGAAGCAGTAGCACCTGCATATGATAAATGCATAACTTCCCTCTTGTTTTTTAAGTCCCATATTAAGGTATAACCCGTAGTCGAAGATGTTGCCAAAATATGTTGCACTTGATTATTCCAAGCCAGGTGGGTGATCTCCTCCATTTTTGGCGATTTTGTACCAGGGGTATAAGGTTTATCAGGTTTTGCCAGATCCCAAATAAATATCTGAAGAATTAAAACATGATAAGGCATTGAGGTAGTAACGAAGTGTATCATAAAAAACATTAAGTACTTCGCCATTCGTCGCAGCCGAGGCCAATAAATTATTTTGAATGGGATTAAATTGCAATCCACGAACGTTTCCGGAATGCGCTGTGTTACGTAATAATAAAGCTTTTTCTGCGCTAATAAAGAGAAATACAAAGTCATTTAGTCGTAAGAATGCATCCATGTCAAATCATTCAAAGGAATTTATTATGCTATCAACATATAATCGATAGATCAAATCAAAAACTATGTTAGAACTCACTCGCCACCCCCCAAGATTATTTCTGGATCCCATAGATCTAATTCACCATTTTCCAACCCGCCGGCAATGATACCATATGCTTTGTCGATTGCATTTCCCCATACAAGACGATCAAATCTAAAAAAAAAAAAAATTAAATCATAAATCAGCGGCTAAGGCCTTGTAGAAATTAAAGTTACAAACCTTGCACTGCTAGTAACTACAGCAGAGGGTTGCAGTTCCACTGCAGTATCAGAACTGTGTATATCAATGTGAAAAAGCTCCAATTCTGTCGTACTTGAGAACGAAGCATCAAGTGCCCCCGCTACAGTACCAGTGGCAATTATTGGCAAATGCTGCCCCGGACTCCATGCAAATGTTGCAGTGCGAGGGATTTCCTTTAATTTCATCGTAAATTTTACAAGTTAAATTCTAAACTCTTAGTTATCTAAAAAAAGTATCAAATAAATATTAAAATATTTTGGATATATTATATAACGTGGGAAGACCGAATTGGTCAATAATTTAAACGTGATTTACTGGAAACCGTTAATGACGAGAAAGTCTCTGCACACCTACCAGCCCTACCAATTCGGGTAATTTTTGTACCTACCCTAAAACCTGTCACGTGCCAATGTACCTACCCTAAAGTAAAATCGCAAATTCATCAGCCAATCAAAAATTGCTTATCGATTCGAATTACAAGCCACCCGTTATAGTGAAGTAAGTCCATTAGTAAATATTTAGTAAATTCACTATTTTTATAGGAGAGCTCTTCACTATAATAAGTGTAACTTGTATTCAAATTGATAACTATTCTTTTGATAAATTTGCAGTGGGAATATAGAACCCAAATAATAATACGATATATATAAAAGTTATATTTAAAAAAAAATTTTATTAGCACTTTTAAACTAATAGCTATTAGCAAAATTTTAAATATTAATTTTATTAAAATTAAATATCTTTTTTTTTTTATCTCAAGCAGTCATGTTAGTACTTTATTAAAAATATTGAAACTATACATAATTATATAGAATTTTTTAATACTTAAGTTTAGCATCACTCAGTTATCCTAATAGTATCTAAGTGTAACTTGTTGTATTATTTCAATTAGAGATAGACTGCTTGTCTGAACGTTGTCTTATACTAGAATATTATCAATCTAATACCATTTTTTTGCAAAGAGGTAAAAAAATAAAAAATAATTTATATATATATAAAAAAATACAAAAGAAGAATAAATAATAAAAAATACAAAATAAAAAAGAAAAAAAGATAAACAAAAAAAAGAAAATATATGAAATTTGCAATTATAAATATTAAATAATTATAATTATAAATCTATATTGGATTTTAAAAATTATAAACTATACTAAATAAAAATAATTCTACTATTTTTTTATTTATTTAAATTATTTAACAAAATATTATATAAAAAATAAAAACTTTAATTTAGTTATAAAAGGTTGATATAAGATACTAATTAGTTTAAATATAACATTAGACAGGTTTTTAGTAGCTTAAATTATATGTATAATTGTATTTATATTATTAAATTATTTTTGATCTATATTATTAATAAACTTATTTAAGAAATAAATATTTCTAATTATTTTAATAATTTTATATATTAATCTTTAGAAGAAATAAAATAAAATATTTAATTTTAAGAGTATAGCAACCTAGTAAATTTGTCAGATTATCAACCCTCAAGTGGTAGATTGGATATTCAAATCCTATCAACAGTAAAAATTTGAATAATCACTTATGTAATATTTATATTATAGCAACTGTTATTAATGCTTGGATTAGAATACCTGTAATAGTAAATATATTAGCATAACTGGCAGATCATAGGGCATCTGTATAAGTATAACATTACACAAAAAAATGCAAACCAATTATTAGGTAGTGTAAATATTAGATAAATCTTTGTGGCTATATAAATCTATTAAAATTAGATAATAAGAAGTCTATTTGAAAAAATCTAAGTAAAATGATAGTTGAATTTTTAATAGTTCTAATGTAATAGCTAGTTCAAAAAAACAGATACCAAGATTGTAATACTTAGATAGACAAGAATCTCTGAGTTAAAAGTCTCAGAGGTACCACTAATCAGGCTACTGTAATGAATTAGAAAAAAAGAATATCAAATTAATTTGATATATCAATAAACTAATCATAGTTCTATATAAGCTATCTGAATTAGGAGTCTAGTAAAAAGGCAAGAGTATACTAAAGTACTGAAATAATACTATAAAGTAGATGCTGAAGTTCAAGTAAACTCTATAAGAGCATAGCAATTAAATGATATAATTCTGACTGCAAATATTGGATCTGTTATAATGATACAAGATCAGTTATAAAAATAGGTATAAAGGCTTTGAGAGATTTATTTTAAGAATAAAATAGTCCTAAGACTAAGACAATAATCTGGACATCTAGATATAACTCAGTGATGTTAATACAAATTGCAGGTTCAGAAGGTTTAAGGTAGAATACTCAAGCAAAAAAGGTATAATAATTAGTAGAGAATCTTCAAATGGACTTCTTAAATAGATAATATAAAAAAGTTATATATATAGCCAATTGTATGCACTTTTGTAGTAGTTCATTGAATCATATTATCAAAAAAGTTGTTAATAAAAATTAAAAGACCAAAAAGGTTACTTTAATATCAAAAAAAAATTATTTAATTTTTATAAAAATTTTTTTAAAAAAAATAAAGATAATAGATAAATTAATTTTATAATTTTTGTAAATTTTTAAATTTTATAAGTGTTTCTTATAGATTTTATAGTTGTATAAAACTAATATATTCAACTTTATTATTTATTTAATAAAAAACTTTAGTTTTTATTAACTATTTTGTTTATAATTCAAAACATTTTTAAACTGTTATTATAAAATTATAACCTTTTTTTAACTATATTTCAATGTTTAGATATATATATAATGTTTTTTTTTTTTTTTTAAACAGTCACACTAGTGTTTTATTTTATTTTATTTTTTTTTTTTTGCTCTTAAGCAGCCATGCTAGTACTTTATTAAGATTCTTGCAACTATAAATAACTACATAGAATTTTTCTAATAACTAGTTTAGCATTACCCGGCCATCTTATTGGTACCTAAGTGTAATTTGCTGCACTACCTTAGTTAGAGGTAGACTGCTTATTTGGCTATTTAAAGCTGTATCAGAAAGGATTTCTCTCTTCTGGGACAAGCATTAACTGTCTTCAATCCTTTCTTTAAATTCTTTCTTCTTTTCAAAAGGTCAAAAAAAGAGGAGTATTATAAAATTGAATACAAATAAGAACATAACTAAAAAAACCAAAAGTAAATAAACAAATCCTAAATTAAAACAAAACAGCAAAACAAACACATAATAGTAAGAAAAAGAAAAAACAAAAAGAGGGCTGAAGCTCCACCAGAGCAAATTGTAAAAATTATATAGTACTGTTATTTCTAGTCTCTATTCTAGGAATAGGTCTATATTATATGTAAATATAAATTGATAATAGAGATATCGGTATTTAATTTCTTTCTCACCAGTTCTACAGCTAATCTTTTCACTCTGCTTAGAGTTACTCCTAATTCCAGAAAAGGAATAATTCTCCTATTCCCAAAATGAATGATTTCTGTAGATCTTTCATAGAGGGTATGCTAAATTCCTACTTCTTGTAAAAACTTCTGTCAAAAACCAAGTAAGGAATATGGTAGTGGTGTTCAGTTAGCAGGTATTCTTGAATTTCTAGTGAGTGTGTTGAAAACTTGCTTATTGTTCTTTTATAAGACCTACTATTTTAACTTCATTAACAGAAGCTGAGACTTCTACTAAAATTTGTTATACAAGTGCGCCTTCTGCCAGTTATCTTGTATATGTGTGCTAGTAATTGGACCTGAGTGGGTGACCACTCGGGTTACCTATTCATCTACAGGTAACTCGGGTGGTATTGTGGCAACCCAGGTAGGTCACCTGATGGGTCACCTATCAGGTAACCTGGGTAATCTTAAAAGCAGCACAAATGCTTCTAAAGTTAAGTCCTAAAAACTACTTATAGATTTTAATACTCATATAATGTTTTGCGAAATTTAAGATACCTTATACAGGTAAATTTTAAGATTTTTGAGATATTTATTTATGAAAAGTTTATTTATTTATTTCGTGCAAAATATAAGCACATTATCTCATGTGGACGAAAATTAATTCTTTGAAAAACTTTTAAATAGTTATCGAACTTCTTGGTGATAAAGAGAATTTTAATGTAATTATTAAAGTTGGTGAATCACCAAGTACTAAAATATTTAAAACATATTCAGCAATTTTAAGACACAGATTTTTATATTCGTAATGAATTGGCAAATATCAAACTAGAGATTGTACCTGTTAAGAAAATCTCTACTCAGATATTATTAGATTACTCAGTTATCTGAGTAATTTATTATAGTCATATGTCTACTCAGGTACAATCTCTAATTAAAACAAAATTAGCATTTATACAAATATTCTTTTATTTCAAATAAAAAAATTATAAATAAATTAAAAAAACCTTTAATGATACAATCTAATTAACCTGAAAGGCTTGAATATTTCAGAATAATCATACTATTATAGCCATAACTCTCACATCAATCAAATTGCCTTAAACTTATTTAGGAAATGGCTTAGATCTTTTTTGTTGCTTCACATCAGCCCAGTTGGCTTGAAAATTTAAAACTCATTTGAATTAGACTTAGATCTTTGAAATAAAAAAAGCTGTATAAGTAAAAATCTCTATTTTGAGTATGTTCATCTAACTTTAATTACTAAATTTGACCTTTAATATAGGATGGGCCAAGTAATGTTAGTACCAAATATGGAATAATAATTAAATATAAAAACAACAACTAAATATGAAAATGAATAATTAAGATTTCACTATACTGTATTATATTTGCCCATTAATACCTATAGCTGTAATTGATTAAATTAAATTTCTCAAGATGCATTGAATGATCATTATCACTTTTTTCAAATTAGATCAATAATTAAGAAAATTTGAGAATTATACTATTGATCAATCATAAAGATGTGATAATCAAGATTCAAAAATTCTTTAGTAAATGTTATAATTTTAGTAATAGCCAAAATGTATATAAGTGACCATTTTTTGATATGAGTAAATATTAGAATTCAACTGTAATTCTAAATAATATACAAATAATAAATCTGAATTATCGAAGTTTATCCCTGATTATTCGATATCTGTTTTGACTATAGTCAATATTTCATTCGATTTATATAAATATTTTCCTGTTCACCTACAGAACTAAGTTTAAATCGTTAACCTCTAAAATTAATAGCATAAATAGATATAGATAATAATGAATATACCCCAGATATTAAATATGCATCAGACATCGAATATACCTCTGATACTAGACAAACCTTTGATACTGATACTCAAAGTGATGCTAGTTCTTCTATCGCTATAAAAAAGTTTAAGAGAAAGTCTATGGAAGAACTGAGTTTTAAGAAAATTCATGTTAATCTTATTAACCCAATTGATTCTAAAAAAAGGTCAAGTTATGTTTAGAAGTACTTTGAAGAAGAGTGTGCTGAAGAGGGTGGTACTGATGACATTTGCAAAATAATTGTAACTAAAAAAGATATAGAGACTGAATGTCAAAAAAAGTATAAGCATGATGGAGGAACCAGAAACATAAAATTACACTTATGATCAGTACATGGAATTTTTGGACCAAATAAATTACAATCAAATCTGGATGAAAAACATTAGTTAACCATAGCTCAGATGTTTAAAAAAGTAATCCCTCATAGTGAGTCTAAACAATTGAAGTTAAAGCGAATTACAGCTAAGTGGTTAGTAACTAATTCCCTTCTATTTAATGTTGTATATAGAAAAGGATACTGAAAAATGATGAATCGAATTGATTTAGCATTTATACTACCAACTAATAAATATATTAAAAAAGAAATTAATATTGCTTATTATAAAGCAATAAAGGAACTTAAAAACTTACTTTATACTACTTGTGAGACAGCTTCCATAACTACTGACTTATGGACAGCCTGAAGCAATGATGGATATATTGGCATAACTTTTCACTGGCTAATACCTGAATTTGAAATATGTGAGGCATTGCTTGCTATTGAAAAATTCGAACATCCACATATAGGTAATCGAATAAGGAAATATCTAAATATGAAAGTTGAGAAGTTTGAACTGACTGATAAAATTATTTGTATAATAACAGATAATGGAATGAATATGAAAAGAGCTATCAAGCTTTGGGATGAAGTAGAATATTTATCTTGTGCTGTACATATACTCCAACTCACAGTTGCTCAGGCTCTAAAATTTATAAATCCATATACAAATAAAATTCGTAAACTCATTAAATTTTTTCGATCTTCAAAGCAAAGCCAATGTCTTGATCAGGCACAAAGGGACTTGGCAAATCATGATAAACCTGATACAACACCTATTATTCAAGTTCATAGTTCTGAATATATTTTTGAAGAGTTATCTGAATTAAAGAAAAATGACAAGTTGAAAATAAATAAAGAGCTAAAATTTATTTTGCACACTATTGAAGATATAAAACTCATTGGAACTCTATTTATCAATCTTGGCAAAGACTCTTAGCCTTACATTTAGTAATTGAGTGACTTTCTGCGATATTACATCTACAGAAAGAAGATGGCATCAAAAAAGACTCTGCTAAATTGAAAAAATACATGCATAATGATAATGAATGGAAGTTTTTAGAACAATTAATAAAAGCATTTGGACCATTTGAAGAATTAACAATCTTCTTTAGTGGAATTAAATATACTACACTTTCAGTTATCAATCCAAGTATTGAAGCATTAAAGTTTGAATTTGCCAATAATGGTATAATCGAGCCTGATAAATTTGAAGAGGTTATTAATTTTAATGAAGGTATATAACTATCATATATTAAAGCTTAATCTGTTAAAAATTTATATGTAAATTAACTTTTTTAAAAAAAAAATCTAGATAAATCATCAGATGAAAATTTGATAATGATAATGTACTATTATTATCTGAAGATACTATATCAAAACTTTGAGAAATTATCTATAATTTTCTTTGGCATTACTGGCATGAGTTGAATAATATTAAATTAATTTCTACTTTGCTTGATCCATGATTGAAATCAATAAAAGTATGGGAAAATGAAACATGAGTTGAAATTGTGTGCTGAATTTAAAACTTGGCAAGAAACAATTGTAGCTAATGAACCAAAAGAATATAATAAGAAAACTAACTTGACATCTGCTCCAAGTTTTATGAGAAAAGTATTTAGTAGTAGTAGCAGTAATAGCAAGAGTAATGCAGATGATAAAAATAAAATTGACAACTATTTAAATGAGTTAATCATATAGGTTTTTCCTAAAACTGCTGATGTTTATGAATGGTAGCATAAAAATCAGCATCTTTTTCCTATTTTGAGTAGAATAGCACGTAAATATCTGTCAATCCCTGCTACCTCTGTTTCAAGTGAATGACTTTTCTCTGATGCAAGGAATCAAATCATTTACAAAAGAGTTCACTTGTCATCTGAAATTGTAAGTAAATTATTATTTGTAAAGCGAAACAATCTCTATTTTGATATTTGGTCCTAAATATACAATTTTTTACCTGAATATTTGGATAAACTGATCTTTACTAAATATATATTGCATTACTTAAATATTATCTGTAATTAAAAAAAATATTTTATTATATATATTATTAATAAATAAAGATCTCTATATTTATACTGAATTCAAATTAAAATAATGTAAAAATTTTAAACATTTAATTTATTCAATTTAAGAATTAGAAATTAGATCTGGGTAGAATAAGTATTATTATAGATATCTGAGATATATAGTAATTACCTAGATAGAGATTTCTTGCAGGTTTAATTAAGAATGCAAAGCAGTTTTACAAATATTAGTGCTATCACTATTATATTCAGTTTAAGCTAACCAATTATATTTTATGTATTATCTGGGTAAAATTTTTTTTAACCCATCTAGGTTCTACTCAGATGACCGATGGGCCCACCCATCGGGTAACCTGTATGGCAATTTTTTGGACAGGTACAATCACTAATGTGTGCTTTTAGTTTGCTTGCTAAATATATAAAAGAGTTCAGTATAGAAGAACCACTTTGACCTTTATAAAAACTGTTATTTATATAGTAGCCTCTTCTACTTCTTCTAATAAGTTTTTTATTTTTGTTGATGTGAAATTTGATACAAGTGATCATCAGAGAGAGTTCATAACATTAGTGCTTTATTAAAATTTTTGAAACTACTACTGTAATTATATAAATTTACTTAACAACTAAGCCTAGCATCATCCAGCTACTCTAATGATGTCTAAGTGCAATCTGTCATATTACTTCTAGCAAAAGTATGCTGCTTGTCTAACTACTTCAAGTCTGTAATAAAAGGATCTTTCTCTTTCATGACAAGCTTGTTGATTGTCTTTCTAACTTCTTTCTTTATTCATTCTTCTTTTGTTTTTGTTTTCTTTTTCCTTTCTTCTGTTGCTTGTTAACTAGCTTTTTTTTTTTTTGCTTAACTTTTCTTTTTCTTTCAGTTTTCTTTTTTTCTCTCTACTTATTATTCTTTTTTCTTTTTTCTATATGTTAACCTTTTTACAACAAATTTTTCAAACTTGTTTGTAAAATGTATTTTATATTGTTTCTGCTACTATGTTTATAAACATTGTCTTGTTTTATATTCAAAATTTGAGATAATTTGTCTTGCATTGTCTTTGAAATTAGGCCTTTGATCAGTGCTTTTCTTATTTCTATTTTATTTTACTCTGTTTGTTCAAAAAGTGCCATATATAATATATAAGATGAGACTCATATTTTTTCTTTTTTTTTAAACTTTTCTATGCTGTTGCAATAAATACTTTCTGTATTCTTTTTTATAGATTTGCTTGTCCCTTATACAATGCCAAATGTTTTTGTATTTCTTTCACTCTGTTTTGAAAGACTTGGCATTCTGTTATTGTATATATATCTGGCCTTCTTCTATTAAGTTTTTCCAATATCAGAAGTTTGTACAATATACATTTCATGAAAGCATTTCTTCTTATACTGCTTCTTCTTATCAAACAGTATACTCTTTTAGATAACTTCAGCCTTTTTCAAAAGTATGTTCAATCATAAATCATTACTTCTGCTTCTGATTCTATATTCTTGATTGCTGTTGTTTTCTTCTACTCTGCTCCTAGTCTGGCATTTGTTATTATTTTATATAGAAGTCTTGCTAGTATGTCTATTTACTTGTTTTCTATTCTAGACAGTACTCTATCTCTTCATAACTAACTTTTTTTAGAAAAATTATTTTTCTACCTAATGTTTCCTTCTTCGCAAGGCTTTTAGCTTTATTATTTCATTTATTTCTACTATAAATTTTCACTTTAATGCACTCTATCTGTATATTTTTTGTTCTAATTATATTTATTATTTTCAATATCTATAATATATTTTTTCTCTTAAGAACTTTATTTCTATCTATACACAAAAGCCTTTTCCAATATTCCTAATTGCTATATTGCTATCTGTAAATATTTTTAATTTTTTTCTTTTTGGTATTGTTAAGATTGCTGCTCATATTGCTAGCATCTCAGCTGTAATAGACATAGGCTATCCTTTTACTCATAATGCTACTTTCTCTTTCAACTAATTTTGTGCTTCAACTATTTGTATTCAACCTATACCCAGCTCATAACTAACATTTTCTTTCACTTTTTGTTTCCTAATTAATTCTATTTCTAGGCCTTCTAACATCTTTAGTTTTATTAACTTCTGTTCATTTTTTCTCAGTTTTTCTGTTCTCATATATCTTATTAATTAGTTAGTAGCACCTTAATTATATTATTGTTTTTTTTTATTAGTATATCTGAAACTGTTTTTATTTTGTTGTTAATTCTTATCCAATATTGATAGCTATTTCCTTCTGTTTCTTCTTCTTTTAAATACCCATTACATTTATTAATTTTTGTTATTAAGTTACTTTCTATATTATGCATTTGCCAATATTCTACTAGTAGTTTCTTCTTCTTCTTTTTAACTATTTTTCTTATTTGTCTATTCTCTGTTGCACTATGTATTATTTATTCTTTTTTCCTCCTGTCATTTGACAGAATTTACTACTTAATCTTCATTGTCTATATGTTACATTTGTCTGTTTTGAACTGTTTTTTAACTTCTCTGCTTTCAATTTTGTTGAGCACTTTTGTCTCTATCATTTTGAACTACTTTGTCTTTTTGTCTTTGCTTAATTGATTCTGATAGGTCTTAAATTGCTGCCATGTTATTAGTTTTTCTTCTTTTGTATCAAGTAGTTGATTTAAATATATTAGTTCTGCTTCACTTATTTTGGATCTGCTTATTTTTTATAGTTATAGTTCTATTAGTTCAATTATTCTGAAATCATAGTCATTTGTTGTTCATAGTTCACTTTCTGTATTTATATTTATTCCTAACTCTTTTGCTTTAGTTATTGTCAAACAGACTAGATTGTTTTTCTAATATGACTTGTCTTCTAACAATTTCTCTACTTTCCATATGTCTTCTATTAAACTTGCTTTTTGACAACTCTGCATTATTCTTAATTTTGTTAGCTGTTTAGTTCATTTTTTCTGTTTAATCTTGCTATTAAGCCTTTTATTTGTTTCATTATTAGTTTTTGTTGTAAAGTTCTGCAACTACCAAAATCTTTGTATTTTATTATACAGTTCTCTAATGTTCTTAGTAAGTCACTTTTTTGTTTTGCCAAATATATTATTAGTTGATGTATTTCATTTATCCTCTTTTCTAATATCTTTATTAATTGCAACATGTAGCTTAATTTTGGTATTATTATTATATTGTTTATATATGCTATCTGGCTCATTGTTATTTTTTATATTTAAGATCTCTTATTGTCTGGCTTATTATTCCTTTTGCTTTTTTCTTTACTAAGACTTTTCATATTCTGTTGTTTAGCCAGATTCCTAATGAACATACTATCTTGTTTCTTGGCTTTTTTGTTATCTTGTTTTCTCTGAAATTTAATTTCCTTTTTTCTTTTTTAATCTTTCTGTTCATTATTATTAGTTTTGATTTAGATCTATTTATTTCAATATTATTCATTTTAAAAAAGTCTTCTGACATTTTTAAGATCTTTAGCAGCTGTTTCTTGCTTTTTGCAATCCATGTTGTATCATCTGTATGATTGCTGCTTGATGATGACTTGTAATGTTGTTACAGTGTATTTCTTTATTAATCACTTGTTTTACTATATAGTTTAACCTTTTATATTTTTGTATCTTTTCTAATAGCAAGTCATAGAAAAGGCACTATATTAGTGATGATATCACTTCACCTTAATCTATTTCATCTCCTGCTGTTATTTCTTCTATCAAACCATGTGCTATGATTATTTTAAACTATCTTTTATGAAAAAGGTTTAGGATGTATTTAATTGTCATTTTGAATATTCTGACTCTTTGTAAGTCTAGCTTAAGACTTTTGAATAAAACTGAGTCAAATGCCTTTTTTATATCTTGCAGGCATATCCACACCTCTTTATTCTTTTTTTTGTCTCTTTTATTATTATGTTTAGAACATATACCAGTTGTTCTATTAAGTTTCCTAATAGGTCTGCATAGTTTGGTCCTTTAAGTATTTCTCTTTCTGTAAATATTTTGCTTAGTCTTTTTATTATTAACTTTGTTACAATCTTTCTAAATATTTCAATTAGAGATATTGAACAAATATTGTTCAAACTGTATCTCTATTCTATGTCTTGTGATATTGAATATACTTGTACTATTTTTTATTTTATTGATATCTTTTCTATTTCTAAGTACAAGTTTGTGTAGACTCTAAAAATCTCTTGAGTTTTTCTTTTCACTCATTTAATTAAAGTATAACTTATTCTTAATATTTCTAGGACTGTTTCTATCTTGAGTTCTCTAATTATCTTATCTTATTCTTCTTTAATTTTTCTTTTTAATTTTTTATATCATTCTTCTTTAATATAGTCTCATAGTTTATAGATTTCTTTTCAGCTTTCTGACATCTCTTCTAGTTTTGTATTTCTTCTTCTAAACTGCTTCTTGTAGTGTTTTACTGTTGCTTTTTTAATTAGTTCTGTTTCTATCACTAGCCTAGTTTCTTTTTCTGTTTATTCAATTATTCTGTTAAATATTACTTTCTTGTGTAGCTTGTTTAAAAAACTAGCTATTATTTTTTCTTGATCAGTTTTGATTATTTCATATCTTTTGTCTATATTATCTTTTATTTGTTTTCTTTGTTTTTGTTCTCATTCTTTTTTCTTTTTTTCTTGTAAGATTTTTTGTCAGCCTTTTATATCTTCTATCTAAGCATCAGACTATTATCTTTGGATTTTTAGTAATTTTGTGCCTA